TTACAACCTAGTTCTAGTCGCCAATGCACCATGATAGCCCTCCTTCATCACTTTTAGAGGTACTTCATCAAGACTATTAGGGAACTGAATACCCTCCTCTGGATACATATTATACATCAAGGTTTGTGCTAGACGGACTAGTAGTACAACTTCATCCCTATTGGTTATCACTTCTATCACCTCCTTCTCATCATTAACACATCCAATGCTGATAATAATAGTAAGATGTCTACGTTATCAAACCCGGTTATCTTGTCGTCGTCTATGTGAACAGATCTCTTGTGATAAGTGATATGATACCCTCCCCACTCACACTATATTTAATGTCTTCGAAATATTGACGCCAACCTCATAGTCTTGTTTTATATTAATAACCTCTTCACAAGAGGAAATAATGCTTGGTGTTGTCGTAGTGTATTAGTGGGCCTCGTCTTACAGTCTGTAAGACGTAAGTTACAGATTTCAAAAGATAACAACAGCCGTTTCTCTCGAGCTGGTTCTCCAATGATGTCACTTTACATCATTTAGCCTAGCGTGGTGATATTAGAATTGGAAATATCCGACTTGATAACCGATATAGATCTTGCTTGAGGGCCCTAAGAGCATATGGACGGCAAACCGACTGTTGTTGGTATCGGATATTAAGTCTAGAGTGGATGACCGAGCACTGACTCTCGAGATTATTGACTCCCCTTTACGGTATTCCCAAACCCTGTCAACACTACATCAGCATGAATAACAATAACAACATGGATAAGAACAACAACACATGGATAACAACACATGGATAACAACACATGGATAAGAACAACAACACATGGATAACAACACATGGATAACAACACATGGATAACAACACATGGATAAGAACAAGATGAATTGGCTGTGGTGGTGCATACATTAAAAAACGGGTGTTTTATTAGAGAATCGCAGATTCCCCAATGAGGCCGGCATGAATCGCTCTGATTATCGTCCCTGCTAGTTTAGGACCAGGTCCTGGTTGGGGCTGTTCATCAATACCCAGACGCTTTGCTCTCTCTTTATCCATATTAATCAAGGCTTGTGCTCTTGCAAAAAGAATCGACTTCATGCTCATTGTCGGGCCAGTATCATCATACCGTGCTTCCACTGCTTGTGCTACCTCAAGAGCATCGACGTTTATTGTAAAGATGAGATCAAGACATCGTCGTTCGCTACATAACAAGATTCTCCAAGTCATGCTACTACTACTGATGATGATAATAATAGCTCACCTTAGGTATGGCAGATTTGTGACGATCTTGTCGAGTTTCATATCTCTACCACTTACAGTAGCTTTTAACGTTGCCTGATACACAGCATGATAAGTAGCATCATACTAGAAGCCCAAAATGATTGCAGAATTCCTTACCTTAGCAACATCATTGGACCATGTCACGGCAGCAAGTTGCGCACGACCCGATGTTGTTGTTGTTGCAACATCAGTGGCAAGGAGCACATTATAAATAGCGAACAGTGCCTTATCTCCCTCCGTCTTTTTAGTGCTAGATTCGAGGATATGTATGTTCTTCCAGTCGGCATCAGAATGCATATCTCCTTTGAATTCACGATCATAACCAAGCTGTACGATGTACTTCTCGCATGCTTCTAGCACCATATCATTATTATGAGGATATTTGATATGAGGGGAATCACGACGATGACGACGATCTCTATCCGGAGGATTGAGGTAGCTTTGCAGCCTGCACAACCTGATGATGATGACAAGTAATAATAACATGATGTAAATATTTGAAGAGGAGTAGTAGTAGTACTACCCTTCTTCGGAGTTTTCTTCGGCAATACTGACATGTGTTAGCTCGGCATTGTAGACTGCTGCCTTTATACTCTTCTTCTTCGACGACGTTCGACCACCATGGGCTACTTTATGCTCCATGCGAATCCTTGCCCCGACAACCACCTTAGTCTTCACACCTTTACCCGAGGAGAAGACAAAGCCCAGAGAACATCTCATTGAGGGAGGATGATGACGATGACCCTACCACAATAACAATACTACTCACCTCACTAGACTCACCATTCACTACCTCCATAGTAGTAGAAGATGCAGTAGCAGCAGCGGCATAGCAGGATAGTAGCAGAAAGGGGGATGTAGTAGTAGTAAACAAGAGTAGTATCGCCGTGATAATGGTCATGGTGGCAGGAATGTTGTTGTTAACTCTACATTGGCTGCTATTACTAATCCTACGTTATAACGTTAGAGGTAGTCGTAGTAATAGACTACTGTATTATTAATATATGGTAAAGAATCCATGACCTAAAGACGTGACCTTGGAATACCTTATGGAATAAAGGTAAGAACAATTTGGGTGGTAATAACAACATCACTTATTAATATTCATACATCATCACTTATTAATATTCATACATCATCACTTATTAATATTCATACATCATCACTTATTAATATTCATACATCATCACTTATTAATATTCATACATCATCACTTATTAATATTCATACATCATCACTTATTAATATTCATACATCATCACTTATTAATATTCATACATCATCACTTATTAATATTCATACATCATCACTTATTAATATTCATACATCATCACT